GAAAATTTTTCTGCTGACTGATGGGCCAAATGCCCGATGCTGACGGCCTTTAAAATTTTTCCTGGTGACAAATCAACTCCCGGTATTAATGGCTTTCGAGGGCTCAAGCCTAAGAGGGGGATACTGTCAAGTCCATGCCTCGGGCCTCCACTTCGCCGCTCGGTATTCCGACGATCCACCTTTATTGTAATCTCTTCCTTATTGTTCTTTCTCGCTACACATACCCTTTCATTCTAGTCCCTCCTTATTGTCTTTTACTTTACCCTGCAGGACTACACGTATAACTCCTAGTAGTTAGTCTGGCGCTCCGCCCCGTTGCGCCGCTCCGTAGATATAAATACTGCTTGTACACTACTGTAGTTCCTCAGTTTAATTATCGACTTAGATTCCCTCTTTAACTCTGTGCTTCTCTAAGTCTTCAGGCTCACTGCCTTGAAGTACTCTCTACTCTACCTTAGGACTTCTACGTTCTCTGGTTCGCTCCTCGTCACCGGCGATACTGCCGCTCCGACTTGGCTGCTACTTAGCTCCTCTCATCTATACTCTCGACCTCCGGGGACATACGGCGTAACGGCGGTGTTGTTAATAACTTCACTACTGTCCCATTCGTATTCCGCACTTAGACACTGTGTGACCTCTGGCACGGTTACACGGTGTGCATGATCTTAACACGAGACCTATTCCCTCTACAGCCTATTTGACCTTACGTTGACGTTCTGGTGAGTACAACTCCTCCTACACAACATTACTAGGTTCCGTACCTCTACCTCCTCTACCTACGCCTTAGGGACCTCCCTGGACCTTACAGGAACCCCTCCAAGGGTCACATCTCTCGATCCCAGCCACTACTAGGTCATTCCCGTCCTTGGTCGCGGTTTCCGTAGCTCCCTTCGAGCTCCAGCCTGCTCCTAGCATGCTACAACATAAACTCTTCATACCAACACCTACCTTAAGACCTATTTTGACCCAGGTCTTACACACGGTGTACATGATCTCAACAACTCCACTAGACTCCACTCCCCAGCCAATGGAAAACAAACAACCTAGAGTAAATAAAAAATTGGAAACCCATGGCTTAACAAAAAAAACCTTGCCTTAATAGAAAACCCATGCCTTAACAAAAAAACCTTGCCTTAACAGAAAACCCATGCCCTTAACAGAAAAACCCTTGCCAAGTTAACAGGAAACCTTGCTCTACATGGATTGGTGTTAAGAAATTGTTGCTGAGGGTTATTTTCAGATGGGTGTAGGAGTTGGGGTTGGAGAAGGAGAAGGAGTGGGAGAAGGAGTGGGAGTGGGAGAAGGAGTTGGAGAAGGAGTGGGAGTGGGAGTAGGGAAAGGAGTTGGAGAAGGGAGTTGGAGAAGGAGGTGGAGTGGGATTTGTATAGAAGAGAGAGAGTGTGTGTGTGTGTGTGTGAAAAAAGAGATGTACATGTATGCACCACAAAACACTACACAGAGCCACCCCCAGAGCCATGGAGCCATGAAGTGTGACAGAATGTCTAATGGTTTGAATATTTTAACATCTAACACGTTCAACATTTAGTCATTCAGGATATGACCTGGGTAGGATACACAGCCCCGATACAGCCTTTATAAAACCACACACACCCCCTTATATATCATATATACACAGCCTTCCTAAACCACACATATTATAAACCACACACACCCCTCATACCCTTATATCACCCACACCCATTCACACCCACCCCCCTCTCTCCTCCCCTCACCTTTTATATCACACATGGTCTAATAGTGTAGAGGTTATCACACGGGATTTTGATTCCACTACTCCTCCTTCTTAATTAATCTCCTTCCCGTAACCCAGGTTCGAGTCCTGGTTAGACCTTGTTGAGTCTTTGTCGTCATTTATTTATTTATTTATTTTTTGAGGGGGGGGAGGGGGTTTGGGTTGAGGTTGTTGTTGTTGTTGATGTCGTGGATGATGAGGTTGGGAGTGTTGATGAGGTTGGTGTTGATGGAGTCTTTCTTTGGGTAGGTTGAGTAACGGTTCAACGTTTATTAATTTACGGAGAGGCTTGCGGAGAGACTTGGTGAGAAGAGAAGAAAGGAAAGTACATATATATATAGAGAGAGAAAAGTTTGTTTCTGCATTTGTAGTGTGTACGTATACGTGCAGTACGCAGAGTGTTATCTATTGGCCGGGCACCAGCGCTAGCTTATACCACCACCTGCTTGTACCGTTCCACTGCTACCACCACCAGCTTGTACCATCGATCCATTCTTCCTAAAACGATAAAAATGACTACTCTTCTTCCCATTCTCAATCCATTCCTCCTTCCTCCTCCTCCCTATAATTCATCTATTCCCAATCTACTCCTCCGCCTCCTTCGCATCCCCAACCTCCTTCGCCCCGACTCCGACTCCGTATTTCGACGTGTCGACGCCGTGGTGGGGGTGGTTGACGAAGTTGAACCTGTGAGAGGAAGAGGGATGATGGGAGAGGGGAAAGGGAGAAGGAGGAAGGGACGAATGAGAATCCAGTTAAAATAGTCATTGATTGATTGAATGATTGAATTATACGCACATCGGGAACGCAGCTAATTCACAGATCGAACAATCGTCAGTATCGTTAGTATATGTATGTATATCTCCGAGTCATCAAGACGACACGTTGCATGATCAAGACGGGACCGAGCACACCCTCCATTCCATTCCACTCCACTCCCAACCAACCAACCAACTGAACGACCAAAAACCCCACCCAAAAATCAAAGAAAAGCCCAAAAACCCCACCCGAAAAACCACCAAAAAAACCCCACGCAACCCAACCACAGTCGTAACAATGGAAAGCACAGCGGTAATGGAAAGCACAGCGGTATTGGACACAGCGAACACAAACACAAACACAGATACGACAGAAAAAAACCCACTCACAAAACTTCAACATCGAAAAGACCGAATTCCTATGTGCCGCGCCCTGTACCCAGGGGCTCTGATGGGATTCTCCGTAGAGGGGTTTGCCCTCCCGTGCGCGCTGGGAGAGCTCGATGAGATCCATCTGGGCTTCGCGGGCGTTTTCTGTGAATCCGAGGAACCGCACTAGGGGAAGGTAAAACAAAAAAACGGATAAAAGCAAGAGCAAAAGCAAAAGCAAAAAAACCAAGAAACAACAACTTCAACGGACTCACTACTAGAATTCTGATACGCCAACAAAAACCCTCCACAGGCGCCCAGGAACGCCGCCACGCGCATGGCTGCCACCATTCTGCGAGTGACGATCTGGATGGCGTTGCCCATGGCGATGCGGCCGGCGGGGAGTTTGTGTGTGGGGGAGAGGGTTATGCGGTTGATTTTGAGGCCGTTGGGGTCGAGGATTTCTGTGGAAGGGGTATCAGAGTTATGAGTGAGTTGAACCAACTTGAAGCTCACCCCAAGCCAACAACGCGCCCGGCACACCCACCGTCGTCGCGCCCCACGTCGCATAGTCAGTTGCCCGGAAATACCTTACGACGCGGGTAAAATGCGGGTCGATGTCGATGACTGGGTATGGTGTGTTGAGCACTTTTTCTGGCATGATTTGATTGGAGCTGTGGGTTGAAGAGGTATAGAGCCGGTATGAGAGAATAAGAAAGGATGAGAGAGTGACGTGACGGTCGTGACTAACTGTCACTCACCACGGCTTACCTGAGAGGGCTTTTTTTTTTTTTCAACTCGTTTGTTGTTTTTTCTGGTCCTTCGACTTGTCCTCACACACCTCTCTTCAACGCCTGGAGCTCAAACGAAGGCCTGGACGACACGCAGGACAATAGTAATCGCACTTTACAACTACAACCACAACCAATGAGTGGACCCGCTCGCCGGGGCAGTCGCTCCACTGCGCGTTCCGCTGTCGCGTCGCCGTATGCGCGGAGTGTCCCCAAGAGTAAGAATAGGAATAAGGATAAGGATAGATTTGATGTGTTGTCGTCGACGTCGGTGCGTGAGGTGGTTTTTTTTTCGATTGTTTGTTATCATTCTTCGTTGTTCTTCGTCTAACTCTCACTCCTCTTCGTTATTTCGTTATTCCATCTGTTTTCATTCTCTATTTCCCTATTCTAACCACCTAAACAGTCCTGGTCGCTCTCCAGCATCCTGAACTACCTCAATCCGCTGCGGGCGCGGTATTCTCAACAACCACAGCAGCCGGAACCAGAACCACAACCACAACCGGAGCAGCACGCTCAACAACAATCCCAGCAAAGACAACGAAGAAGTGGAAGTGCAGGTGAAAGTGAAGGGAGTGGAGGTGAAGGAGCAGGAAGTGGAAGTGGAGAGGAAGTGGATCTAAATAGTGTTTCCGAGGAAAACGAAGTGGACGTAAGGGTAACAATACACAAAAGCCCCGGAGCACCGACCCCAGCACACTCCTTATCCACGAGAGGTCATCAGGTGATTACCCCTCCTCTCCATTTCTCCTCCTCCTCTTCTCCTCTCCATCTCCCACCGTCTTAACATTATCTAACTGATACATACTAGATCACCAAGTCCCTCTCTGTGAGTCGGGTTACGTCTCCCACTCCAAGAGAAGAAGAACACTCAAACACCCAAGGCCTCGCGTACCTCTCGAAATACATCAGCTCGCGCCCGCGGGACGAGCCGCTCACGACGTCGGAGGCGGAGGAGATGATTATGATTATCAAGGGGAGTACACCGGGTGAGTGGGGGTTGTTTTGCTTTGGTTTTTGGTTTTGTGTGGTTTTTTTTTTTGGTTTTGGTGGTTTTTTTGTTGTGTGGATTGTGTGTGGATGTGGAGGAGTGAGGGAGTGATGTGAACTGAACTGAACTGAACACTGACTTTTTTTTTTTATCATACAGTAGAAGAACACGAGACGTTTCGGTTCTCCACCACCAACAATTATCACTCAACACCACTCAGAGGAAATTCTCCTCTATTCCGTACACCCACCAACTCCAACAACACCACCAACGCCACTAACACCAACACGAAAATCAACACCATCCCATTCTCCTTCTCCCCTTCCTACCTCACTCCCCCTTCCCCCAACAACCCCAAACTCCTCAAACACAACCCCAACGGGATATATCGCTGGGAAGGCGGTGGGAGCGCGCGCGCTCTTCCGGTTAAACAACCTTATTCCCAAACCCCCGCGCGGCGCTCCCGGAACCGATATCACTCCCCTGCGTTTGGACCGACGTTGCGCGCGCCGAATGCGCGGTTGGTGATACGGGAGAGTGAGGAGATGAGGAGTGATACGGGGAGTGGGGATGGAAAAGGTGCTGGGAAAGGCGACACGAAAAGACGCAGAGTCGGTGAGACGTCTTCGGTGTTGGGGTATCAACCCAGTGCCCCCACACCCAACCCCGCACCCCTCCGCTCCCCAGCCCCCGAACCCTCTCCCACACGCGCAGCAGAAGCAGTACCCCTCACCCGTCTCCGCACACCCGCTAAACCCACCACCCCCGTCGTTCCTTCCCCCTTACGTCAAGCGTGGGGTCAGAGTTCGTCTCCCACTCCGAGTTTGAGTCCCAAATCCGAGTACGATTCTTTGTCTTTGTCTTTGTCCCTGTCCCACTCCCTCCCGAGATCCACCTCTCCTAAATTCACCCACCCAACTCAAACAGCAACGTACATGAGCACCCTCATCAAAGAAGTCACGCCCGTGCGGAACCTGGATGTCCGGAACCCGTATCAGGCCGCGAGTCCTGTGGGGAGGTCGGGCGCGCGGAAACCTGGGTTGAGGTCGAGGGAGAAGAAGGGCAGTGTACCCGCCATGGGAGAGAAGGAAGAAGAGGGTGGGATTGGGAAGGGAAGCGGAATAGGAATTCGGGCTGGGAAGGCGAATGGAATTGGGAACGGAACAGTGAAAGAAAAAATCCAAGACCTCGAGAACGAAAAACAAAGAACAAGTGAGAGTGTAAGAGAAAGAGATGTATTCTTGGAGAAATACTCCGCACAGGCTGTTATTGAGGCTACGTTGCCTAAGGTGAGGGGGGGGGGGTTTTTTTTCGTTTGAGTTTTGGTTTTGGTTTTTGGTTTTATGTCAAACGACTTTGTTCCCTCTTTGATGAATTATCTTTGTTTTGTTTTCTTTCGTCTACATCACAATCCCTTTTCATGTTAATCTGATTCATCTTTCATCCCTTCCCCTTCATCTCTGCTCCCCCATTCCCTTTCACCCAAACTCCTTTCTTCCCCTTCCCTTCCCTCCCTTCCCTTCATATCGAAACTAACCATATATCTCTCTCTCTCCAGGGCAGCAAACGCTCCAGAGCCCCCGTCAACCTCGGGATCGGGAAAGGTCTTCCTAACGGTGTGAACGGTGGGAACAGTGGAAATAGTGGAAAGGGAGTATCGAATATATCGAACACGTCCAAATCAAAGGGAGTGTCCAAGTCGGTGCGGTCGCCGTCTCCGAATTCAAAGACTCTGACTCTGACTCTGACTCAGGTCAGAGCGAAATCGAAAGAAACCGAACGTGAACGAGAATCCGAACGCGAACGAGGAGAAAACACAAACACAACCGAAGAAGAAGACCCCGACCCCGACGAACGATCCCGCTCGAATAAGAAATCTAAAGCTTCACACCCTGATGAGGAGATGATGATGATTTCCACGGAGGTCGATGAGGGGAAGGATATATCTAACCCGTCCTCTTCTGTTTTTTCTTCTTCTTCTTCTTCCTCCTCCGCCTCCGCCTCTGCACCTGCCTCTTCCTCTCCTTCCACCACCCGTTCCCCGCAATTCCCCAGCGGAATCACCGGAGCCACCCAAAAAAACCCCACGATCCCCCGGGAACCCTCCAAGCTCCGGTTTAGCTATAAACCCGAGCCGGAGGCTGGTGCGGCTCCGCTGATTGTTGTGGGTTCTGGGATTGGTGGGAATTT